GTCTTCTTTGCATGGCCGTCTAGACAGAGCGTCAGCTTTTTTATGCAGATTTCCAGGTCGATGTTTAATTTGGAAATCGTATTGCTGCAACTTCTCAATCCATCCAAGGAGTTTTCATTTCTGAAAGCCATTTTAGAGCGGCGTGATCCGTGCCAATTAGAAACTTACGTCCGTAGAGATACTTATGGAAATGGTCGACTGCTTTTACTATGGCTAGCAACTCTCTTCTGTTGACACAATAATTTCGTTCCGGCTTTGATAAACTTCTGCTATAGTACTCTACGACATGCTCTTGTGAATTTTGGATTTATGAAAGGACAGCACCAATACTGGTGTTGCTTGCATCTGTGTCGAAAATCAACATGCCTTTCTGATCAGGATAGGACAACAACCCAGCTTGTACATAATGCTCTTTTTAATTATCTGAAAGCGGAATCGCATTCTTGAGTCCAATTTAATATTGATTTATCTTCCGTTAATCGATGAAGCGGAGCAGCTATATTAGCGAATATTTCTACAAATCTTCGATAATAAGAACCTCATCCTAGAAAGCTCCTTAGTTCATGTTGGTCGCGGGGCTTTGGCCAATCCCTGACAGCATTTATCTTTCTTTCCATAATTTGACAATTTGTATTCCATCTTCAGAAACCACGTGACCTAAGAATTCCACTTAGAAAACACTATTTTGGATTGAGTTTTAAGTTAGGATTCCGGAAGCGGTCAAAAACTTCTTTCAGGTTATTGAGATGTTCATGAAACGAATTTCCCATTATCATGACATCATCTAAATATACCAGGCAAATTCTCGATGTAATATCTCGCAAAACAAGATGCATCAGTCGCTCAAACGTAGCTAAAGCATCACCAATCCGAAAGGCATTACGTTAACCCTTCCACTGCCAAATTTTAGTTAGGAGTAAGAAAAATATTTTGACCTATTTTTAGAGGTTCTAGTGCTTAAAGTAAACATACTCAATCATAAAAGAAAAATCTACCCCCACCCTCGCAATTTTTTTAAAGTGTCCCAGGATAGGTACAAATCCAGTTAGGAAAGTACTTATGTGACTACTAATAAAAAATCTTTATTACTGACCAAAACCTAAAATTTGCTAACTATAGAACTAACATTTCATTAAAAAACACATTTCTTTACCAAACATTTTTTTAGTACTCTTGAAGACAGAAAAAAGTCAAAAAATTAAATTTTTCAAAACAATTTCTGCCTTTCATCAAACACAGGTGTACTTCACATTTCTTAGTAAATATGTGTTTTTTTCCTTACATCCTTCCATCTTACATCTAGAATTATTTTTATTTTCATCATACGCAGGAATATGTTGAAACCCGTCATACCTTGCATCTCTTACTGGACGTGATTCGTACTTGTGTCTGTTAGGATTCGATTCCTCTAGATTTTCTGTGGAAGGCCTGCCTCTTTTTGTTTCGCGTCTTGTATAAATTACACTTTCTGAAACGGACCGTCGGAAGGCTAAAAGGTCAAGTATTCTATTTTTCGAAATTCCCAGTTTTGTAGCCCGTTTTCTGTATTCTTACCATGCACCAACCAATCCCATATCTATTGCATGGGTTATAAGTCTTACAGTCCATTTTCGCTATCTTACATAGAAACGATAACTACTCAACAAAAAATCGTGCTTATCAACCCTTCCGTACTGCTGTTGTACAGCCCAACTGCTTCCGGTCTGGAAATCTGAACGTATTCTTTCTTGCTTTTGTCCCATCTTCTGCACACATCAGGATTGCCAATACCACCAAAATTAGACCCAAGAACGACAGGCTTATGACACATTCTGCAGACGTTCCTGTGCCACGTTTCTTCATTTATTTGTCAGACGAGACGGGAGCTTAGGGTTATGGAAGCGATTTAGCCAAATTGTGCCAACAGCATGAATAGACTTTGCTTGGAGATACTGAAAAAGGTGGTATGAATTGAAATAGTTGTCAAAATATAGTGAGAGACTCGGATCTGCAATCCTGTCGGCAAGCTGCATCACTATGGCAGCTGAGGATTCGAACTTCATGTAAGTTTTGCTCTAAAGGGAACTCTCTGTACCTTTTTCTTAGAGCATCATAAATGCTTCGAACTTTCAACAATCTATATTTGTTAATAGATTCTCTACTTGCTACTTGTAACTTCGACTAAGTGCAAGGATTGTCTGAGTTTATTAAACCTTTTTAACGTCATATTATCCTTTACCGGGTATTCCGCACGTTGAAGACCAGTACATATTAGATCAGCCCTAGCCCTAGGAAATTGTAAATTTCCCATTACGATGTGAATCCCAATAAACCTTGTTATCTCATCTACGTATCTTGGTTGGAGGAAATCTGTGAATATTTTTTTGAGTTGCGTAAAGGTTTATCATATTCACCATTTGTTCATAAACATGGTTTGGCATATATTTTCGGAAAAACTCTATTGGAGAAGGTAAATCAGTAACAGGTTCATCAAGGTCGACATTACCACGATTTCTAATAATTCGGGTTTGATAATAATATGTAGAATTTTGAATCCATTCAATATCTGGTTTTTTAGTCAGGTTATATTTGCTCATAGTATCCAGGTCAACTTTTTCAATGTTATATTCTTCTTCTCGTCCTTCGTTTGGAGCATCAGCATCATTTGGTGGGTCCGAACGAGGATAATCTACCTCTTCTTGGTCTTCTCTTGCATTGATGAAGTCTACCAAATCGTCAAAATTCTCAGCTGATTCTTGGAATGACTGATGATTCCAATCAAAATCGCCATCTGATAAGGGAACAATATCTGACTCGTCATCATTCTCGAGGTACTCCAAGAGTTGTTGTTCTCTAAGGGGGTTCTTTCTATTACGTGATGCACGTGACATAATCTGAAAGGCAAATACATTGTCTTTATTGGGAAATGGACTAAGAAATAAAAGAACTTATTGGTAATTATCGATTCTCAATATATTTTTTTTTTGTCGAACACAGCGTGGAAAGCAGAGCGTGTGAACTCATAGAACTAACTATAGGAACTCTCAACATCAAAAAGACAAAGAATTACAAACCCTTTCTTCAGTAAACAATTCCTCAACTCTCTATCTTACATATAAAAACTATTATAAACACATTCAGTCATCCATAGCTGCAATATAAATTAGCAAAGTATAGGCTAATAATCAAAGTTTAATTTATTAATTTTGGCGATTCTTATCATAATGTCTCCATTTGTTCTTACTAGAGTTTTTCCAACGAGAAATTTTTCTGGTTTATCTCCGATAAAATTATGTGTTAGTCCAACGCAGCACCCAGGGTTTGTTTCCAATTTTCCGCAGATGATCTTCTCAGTACTGCCAGGAATCCTCACTGAGTTTGTAGCTAGGATCTTAACGGCGTGGGATTCTTCTTGTTTGTTTAGGACAAATTCTTCATTACCAAATTTAAGGTTCGAAGAAGGATCGAAAGAGAAACCATATTGGCCGATCAAATCCATTCCAAAATAAAATAATCTTCTATATCGGCGACTAATGTTCTGTGCCTAAAGGTGGTAGTTCCAAAAGTAAGCTCAAGCATAGCTTATCCTTGAACTGGTGCCGATTCGCCCGTGACTGTTCGTAGTGACAGGTTTCTAGTGAGCGGTTGGATTGCCCTAGACTTGACTAATGTTCTTCTAATAATAGAAACTTCAGCACCCGTATCAAAAGTGATAGTTTTAAATTCCTTATTAATTTGTCCTTCGAATTTGAATCCTCTATAATGTCCAATGATTTTATGTGAACAACCCTGGGGGCTTCGTCATTACTAACCAGCATTCGCCCCTCCATACTGGTTAGTTGTCGTTTCCCTGTCTGTTATTAGGGCTGGCCTCTCTAGATCTCGAAAAGCGTTGAAAACGATCTCTAGATGGAGAGGGCATCCTCACTCTACAATCTCGTAGAACATGTCCAAGCTTATGGCACCGGTAACATTCTACTCGGTTTCTCGGAGTTGGTGTTTGGAATCGTTTCCCGTTTTTATACCTACTAGTAATAGTTTCTCCATTCTCTCCATTTTCTCCATGAAATTTCTCATAACATTCTTGAAGCTACCATCCTCTTTTGAAAATTGCTTATTCTTTGGGTCTACAATGGACACTGCTCGTATTCTGGGTCGTGAGGCACCAAAGATTGCTTCCAGTTCTAATGCTTGGACAAGGGCTTCGCTACTTTGTCTGAACTGAGACATTCTCAGGTTTTCCTGGATCTTCGAATCTCTGAGACCATCAATAAACGCAGATACTGCCATCCATTCTTGCATGTCTTCCCCAGCTGCAGGAAACGCCACTTTCTGTGACAATAGAAACAAAAAAGATTATACGATCTCATCAGGGTGGAAGAGAAAATCAAGTTTGAGAGAATACAAAGCGAAGGCAATTGAAAGTAACACATTTCCATAATCTGAGAATATTTGGTAGGTACAATTCCCTTTTTTTTAGTGGCGTAAATTCGTTGGTCAATTGGCAAAAGTATCGATTTCCAAAAATTTTTCTAATCACGATGTCATCACCGGTAATTTTCTTCATTTAAAAATTCCACATTCCAACTATCCAGCTGTCGTCGCTATAGCATTAAAAGTAAAAAAAGCTAAATAAACTCCCTTAATATATCAACATTATGACTATTTATATGGAACTTGTTTACCCAGTAAAAAAAAAAAAACATCAAAAGTTAGAACTGGAAAAAAGCAATTTAGTTTTTTTTCTTGAAAGTCTCGGAATGGCCAATTTGATTTGAATTTATCAGTCCACCGGGACTGACACATTGGAACAGATAAGGCAAAGTTTACGTTAAAGTTTCAGCAACTTTAATTGTCTCGATATCATTTTCGGAGATTCAACTTATATGGAATCCTAACGAAATGGGCTACGTTAAAATCGAAACAGTTATACAAACCTCTTATCCTAGATCCGACTATAAAACCGTTTATTCTGTATAGCTTTGATTATTTGTAAACTGAAATCTTGAAATCTCTTTCAGTATCGAAACAAATTAAACGAGCAGCAAAATCAAAGGCTAAACCAGCAACGAGAAGCACTTACAGCCAGACAAGAGGAAATGAGTTCCATCGATAAACGGATATCGGAACTGCAGGAACGGTTGCAACGTAAGAGGCTGCTCAACCAACAACTGGCCAGTCAGATTAGTGCGGCGTCTCATAAGGCCGCTTACCACCAATTTGTACGGTAAGTTCTCTAATAAATAATAATTTTGTATTTATTGGCAAATAACTTTTTTTTTGAGAAAAAGTCTTCTGAAAGAGTTTAAATTCATCAGCTGTTTATATAACTCACGTCTCAAGCCTTCAAAAATTAAAGGCACGTTGATCTTACGTGGGGTTTAAATGAACGGCGATAAAAATGTATATGAAAAGATCAACTAATCTGAAAGGAAAACGATCTATAAATTTATTAGTAAGTTGAAGCTCACAAAGTTGTGCTAGGCTGTAGTAGTAGAATACCGAGTTAAATTAATTAAAAAAAAGTACGATTATGTAGATGAGGAACGAGTTGGGTAATTTTTTTCAAATATTGTTCTGTCACAGAAGACAAAGTCTACCATGAGCGGAAGAAATTAGGTGATGATTAACCCTCCTTTTGAACACGTTAAGGTTGAATCGTTCAGGAAATGAAGTAGGGGGTAGGGAGTTCCAGAGGTGAGCAGTACGACACCAAAAAGAAGCCCTATTTTTAGAGAATATACCCATTGATTTCAACTTAGAATCGAAACCATCTAGAATTGCAGTATACAGGAAGACTATGGCATCCGTTGTAGAGAGCCCAGCGTTCAAAAAAGCGACAAGTCTTCTCCCGAAGGACCTCTCAAAAATCTTAGAGAATACAGACAGCAGTGCAATGGGCCTATAGTTCTCAACCAGCGATGTCTGACCCTGTTTGTAAAGTGGTATCACAATGGCTGCCTTAGGTTCTTTAGAAAAATATCCAAATTGAAAGGACATGTTCAGAAGATAGGTCAGTACAGGTAAAATATTAAAAGCACATTTACACAATAAATTACAAGGAATCTCATCCGTGCCACATGACCTTTTTCTTGAGACAGATTTAATAATCTCATGAGTTTCACTCTCAGTAAGAAGGGATAAGAAAATAAATTGAGATATTCTACTGCATGGCATATTAATGGTTGTAGGTGCCTGAAAAAAGTCCAGGAGTTTAGCTACTGAGCCGATAAAAAGGTAATTGAAGGTGTTTGCAATGTTCGATGTTCAGATTTCCGGTAACATTCCTGCAGCTTGCTGTAATCGTATCAGGAACAGACTTTGACTTGCAATTTGAAAAAAGCGGCTCGCGTAACATTCCCGGAGGTTATTATTTTTTTAGAATGAATAGCTCTTTTAGCAGTGGCAATATTTTTTTTTATGATCCCTTAATCTGGCTCTTTATGACAAATGCATTTCAAAGTTGTCTAGAGATTTTAGTTGGGTATGAAGAAGTCTCAACTGTTTACCTTCATTAATAATTGAGGGCGTTATCCACGGATTAGACACCCTTTTAGTGGACTTGCGTTTAGCTACACATGGAAAGCATATGTTAAACAGACTGAAAAGTGTCGAAAAAATAGGTAAATTTATCTTCCAAATTCAGAGACCCTAGAGCAGACAACCAATGTTCTTCAGATAGTAAGAAGTGAAAATAGTTAATGTTTTCCTGAGAAAAGGATCTGGAAGCAACTGTACAAGATTCGACTGGATCACCACTCACCTGGTGATCCGTAAAAGTCAAATCCAATGTATTAGTCGACATCAGATTAACATTCGTAAACACATAATCAATAGGGGTGCATGATGTGCCCTGAATTCTAGAATGTTTAAAAAAGGCTTGTTCAAGACCATAGGAGCTAAATGCATTCACAGTGTTCATTGCTTCCTTAGATCTAGAATCAAAATCGTAGTTAAAGTTACCACAAAAAGAACATAAAAATATTACGCTTACACACATACTTCAACAATTTTTCCAGGCAGACACAGAAAGTTAGAAAATCAGAACTAGGGGACGATACAAACAACAAACCAAAATATTCACATTGTTCACGGTTTTTAACATAACAATGAGAAGTATCTATCTGCAAGTTGCTTATAAGTACCAAAGTCAGTCCTAACAAAAACTGTCACACCAAAGTCATTCTTAACAAAAACTGCCACACCACCAGCATGCGACGAGTCTCTGCAGAAGTAGGTAGCTGTCTCACAGTTGTTAAGCTTATAACATGTAGCTGCTGTATTTGTCATCCAGGTTTCAGTGATGCATTCTTATTCCGTTCATAGATTCAATTTCTGACTCTACCTGAATAACCGTTCTTCGCGGCATTATATGTACTGGATCTGAATCCCTCGCCTTCGGCACGAAATATGTAAATTTTTTGACAGCTATACTTTCTGGCCAGCTTGCCAGTTGCCTCCAGTTCTTTAGGTGCCATGACTTTAAACGAGAGAAAAATTGGGGAAGCAACAGAAGAATACCTGGTAGCTCAATGTGCGGAAATAGAAGTACTAGAAAAGAAATTTGACAGCTTTCACATGCACGAAATGATAAAGGAAATGGCTGGATGCAACAGGGTCAAGGTAGCTAGTACTATTAACAAGGATACAATTGGGCGTATAATAACTAATGTGAGGGACAATGGGACAAACTTAAAAGATGGAAAGCATACCTGTGGACTGTGGTAACTCTTCGATGATGGAAGACCTCTAAAACATGTCTTAGAATCAAGCAATGTGCACTTAAAAATATTGTCACAACCCTTATACGTTTCGTCCTGGGACGTCACAACAGGAGCGTGACTTAGGGGCGTAGGTGGGGTTCAGGAAGAGAGAAACTCGCCTGGTATAGATAGACAATAAGATATGTATTGAATAATAATAATATTACCCTAGAAATAGTATCATGACGTCTCTTCTACGGAGGGACGTACTACTTATAGGCCACTCTGTAATATGTACACTCTGTACACGGCGTGACTGAAGACTGAAGCTGAATTTGAGACAGGTCTAGAAGGGCGTTTCCCAATAAAGGTAGTTTGCACTGGACCTAGTCTGCTGAGTTCAATGCTTTCCGAAGAGTCTGGTTTGAGACAGGTCACAGGTCCAGAAGGGCGTTTCCCATAAAAGGTAGTTTGCACTAGACCTAGTCTGCTGCGTTCAATACTCCCAGAAAAGCGTTTCCCATTAAAAGTAGTTTGCACTGGGAGGAGACTTAGCTAGAGGGACTTTTCCCATTTGAGGTACTTTGCACTAGCCTTAGTCTGCCGGTAAAAGATTTCGGCGCGGTATTTATACCAAATAAATGCTGACTCGTCACACACTTTAGTAAAATTGATGTACAGAGTAGTCTTTACTTAGGTAGTTGACAATATTAAGATCAGAAATAGTGTAGGCCTTGGAAACTATGAAACCCACTAAAGCTGCTGTTCCTGATCAGATACCCATAGAGCTTATCAAACTCTTTGATGATGATGTAATTGATATTCTGCTGGACCTTTCGAACCGCATTTATGATAACGGAGGAATTCCTGAACAATTGTTATCATCCACTTTTGTGCTCATACCCAAGAAACCAAGTCCAAGAGAATCCTCAGATTACCGAACTATCGCACTTGTGAGCCACAACTTGAAGTTATTCTCAAAGATCATCCTCAAAAGAATTTACAGAAGACTCGAGGAAGACACAGGCAACACACACAGTTTGGATTCCGCGAAGGACTTGGAACACGAGACACGCTTCTTGAGATTACCGTTCTTTTCCAGCGCTGTCTCGATATAAACCGAAAGCATAAACCATGCATGTTACATCGATTTCGAGAAAGCCTTTGACAAAGTGAAATATGACAAGTTACATCACCTAGTCGTCAGCAAAAACTTTGACTCGGATGACGTTAGAATAATTAGTAACCTATATTAGGGCCAATGGTAGAAAACCAATCAACAGAAGAAATGGAGATTCGTCGTGGTGTGAGACAAGGTTGCATCCTATCGCCGCTTCTCTTCAACCCATGTGTATATAGCGAAGCTATTTTCAGGGAAACCTCAGAAGATAAGTTAGTGGGAATAGTTATAAATGGGGCAATGATTAATAATATGAGATATGCTGATGACACCGTCTTGTTAACGAGCAATCTTGAAGACACACAGCAACTTTCAAAAAAACTAAATTATCGATGCAATATATACGAACTAAAAATTAACTTTGAGAAAACCAAGTTAATGGTAGTTACCAAGTTCCCATAAAATCTGAACCATGTGAACCTGACGGTGGCAAAAACCAGGATAGAGAAGGTACCAACATATATATATCTAGGAACTTAGCTAGAACAAATGGATGATCAAACAAGAGAGATAAGAGCAAGGATACAGATCAACATTTATAAAAATTAAAAAATTATTACCGAGTCGGGATATTAACATGGAACTTAGGATACGGATGCTTCGTTGTTACGTTTTTTCTGCGCTTTTGTATGGAGTTGGAACATGGACCATCAAGAAAAACCACATGGACAAACTATAAGCCTTCGCAATGTATTGCTACCGTATAATTTGGCATATTCCCTGGACCGATAGAAGTATTAATGCCGAAGTTCTGAACTGGATACAGAAGGAGTGCGAAATCATTAACACCCTAAAAAAGAGAAAGCTTCAATAATGAGAGGACAGAAATGCACACTTCTCAAACTGATAGTCCCGGGAAAGATTAGTGAAGAGCGGAACATTGGCAGGCGCCGTGTATCCTGGCTAAAGAACCTAAGGGATTGGTTTAATTGTAGCAATGTTCAACTGTTCAGATCTGCAGTCAACAAGGTCCGGATTGCTGTGATGATAGCAAACCTCCGATAGGAGATGCACAATAAGAAGAAGATATCAAGGTCCCAGGATGAGACTACCAGAATCCACCAAAGCTTTATTTACAAGTGAAAGATAGGCATTGGAGGCAAATTTAAATGTAAAGCTGACATTAGAAAACCCTGTAACATGGTTTAAGTTTATTTAGGAGATTAGAAAAATGCACGAAGCAGCTATCAGCAAAATTCTATAGATTATAATATGAAAAATATGCAAAACCTACAACAGACTACCTCTTTCAATCAAACAAGTGAAACTCCGAAAAACGAAGCAATAGTGGAGCCAATAGCAACGAAACTCACTATGTAGACAAATAGGCAGAAACATACCAAG